ACAAGGGGAGCGGGCTGCTCCCTCACCTCCATTCCCACCTCAGACCTGCTGGGACATCAAAAGGGAGCCTGAGATGACAGCATTCCTTGACAGTGGCCAAGGGATGGTGACACTTAGGAAACAAACTGTGAGATCTTGTTACCAACAGTGTGGGGATGACCAGGTTAGAAGGTGCAGGGATGGTAAAGACTCCTATGAAGAAGTTTGGAGATGTCCCATGAACCGAATTTATTGAATACTCTTTTAGAATAAATGGCACGAGACCATATCCTTTGTCTGTCTGCCACTTGGCCTCATGAGAAGTTGGCCTAAGAATGGAAAGCCCACGAGTGGCTCTCAGCAGGTGGCCTCCCAGGAAACTTTTCCTCTCCTGGGATGATGTGTTAGAAAGAAACGACATGTTTCCATGCATCCCCAGATTCAAGGCGGAGTCTGCTGATGAGGGACGGTGACAGGAAGGCTAAAGGTCAGCTCCAAGGGGTTTGAGAGCCTTTCCCTGTACCTAACACTGCCTGCATTGTCATGGGACAAGGAGACTTAGCATTGCAGCTATAAAGAATTAACTTGCATGAATAGCAAGGAATGGGAGCACAGTGACCCAGAAGAAGGCTAAGCTTTCTTACACACACACACACACACACACACACACACACACACACACACACACACACGGGAAAAGCCACCTGAGACGTGGACACTATTTCCCTAATGATGGTCATGAGTTGACCGTGGACTCCTTCCACCAAATGGCAGGACAGCTCTCTCTTCCCAGCTAGGACTTGGAGGCGTCTGGTCAAAGGCATGGCGGGGCCGAGCCTGTTTTGCTGACTCGCACAGGAAGTGGTGGGCTGCGAGCACAGCTACAGGCTTTCCTGTGAGCCGTAAATTGGGCCAATGTGTGCAAAACATTCTTATCTGATGCAGAACTGGAAGTGTGACCGTGCGCTAAAATGTTGGAAATAATACCGGGTCTCTGCTCCACTCTTCCCTCATTTTTCTCTCTCTGTTGTCCCTTCCTCGTCTCTGGCAATCACAGTGGTCTCTGGGTTCTTCTCTAGTTCTCATATGGTTTTGATCAGAAAGGACCAATATAACAGAGAACAGAACTCATCCAGGCTCTTCCCTCTTTTGGAATAATGTGCTTACTTGTTAATCTTCTTTTATGTTTACATCAGAAATACATATATGTATATATTCAACCTAAGTGTCCCTTTATATCCTGTCCCTTTTCCAGAGCTCTCTTGGAAAAAAAAAGTATTAATATGAAATAATCAAACTATACTTGGCTAAAAACTATTCATTTTCTAGGAGGAATAAACTGAACTGGTTTGGTACCCAGTCCTGTCCTGGCCCAGCATCCAACTGGCTGTGTAGCTTTGGAAAAATTCTTTGAAGTTTCTGGTGTTAATTTTTTCATCTCTAAAAATGACACAATTAGATTAGGTAACCTCCAGGTGCCTTCTTAGAGAGCATGTGATTATCTTTGTAAGGTACCTTGGTACCCTCTTTATGACAAAAGCTAAAATGAGACTTCTTACCTGCATAGGAAAATGAAGGCAAAAAAGTCTTTGTATTTATTTCCTTAATAAAATAAAAAATGGCCCAAAAAAGTGTATTCCAATGTATTAGCACCATTTTGTTGATAGCTTAGACAAAGCAGGAACAGATTTCAGAGCCATGTATAATACAGTATCTGGCATGTAGAGTGCACACAGTACATGTTTGCTGGAAGATGTAGCTCTAGCTGCAGACAGGGTAGCACAGCCTAGTGACAAAAGCACAGAATTTATAAAAGCAAGGCTCAAGCCTCAGCCTTACGAATTACAGCTCTGTGTTTTAGAACAAATCACTTAACTTTCTGAGCCTCAGTTTCCTCAACTGTAAAATGGGATGAATATCTGCACTTCAAATTTTGGGGGAGAATCAAATGGACCTAACACATACATGAAACAATTCACAGAGTGTTGAGTACTTGCAAATGTTCAGTCTATTCTGTATCCATCCTAAGGACAGCTGCTGCCTTTTTCCTTAAACTCAGTGTTCTTTGGGCACTTTTGCATACTGTGATAAATCACTAATTTTACCCCCAAATCATAGCAGACTCATTCAACTTTAAACTGCAGGAAATATACCTGGCCACTAAATTGAAGGAACAAGAGGAATGGAGATACCCATGTAATTTTTAAAAGATTATCCAGTAAATCCTTCTCACCAGATGGGTTGAGGAGTCTTTGCTTTCCAAATTCTGCAGCCTCCAATAAAGGGGTGGATGTCTTCCCGTCCTAAACACGGCGACTCAAGGCAGAGGCCTGAAGGAGTTAGCCTCTGCTATCGTCGTAACACACGTGTGACCCTTTTCCCAGATGTATTTAGCATTTTACCCATCTGCTTTAGCACTTGCTTGTGTGTGCTCTCTTTCTCTCTCTCCACACACACACATACACACACATGCGTAATTTCTTTTCTGAGCCATCTGAAGTGCGTTACATATGTCATTGTCCTTTACCCCTAAATATTTCAGTGTTTATTTCCTAAGAATAAAGATATTCTGGTATGTAACCATAGTACAACTATCAACTCCAGTAATTTAGCATTGATATAATATTTTACATTTCAGGATCTCTGTTGCAGGGACTATGGCTTCCATAGTCAGTGGAATAGCTGGGCTCCCGGATTCTGTTTCTTTCCCAGTCCTTGCTGTCCTACTAGACATCAAGTACTAAACATAAAGCCTCTTTAGGCCTCGGACTGTAAATCCAGGACATTGGCCACTGTGACCTAAAAAGTGCCTTCTGGCTTGAAGCGTTCATTTCTCCAAGACGTGGCTGCCCTTCTGTTCTCAGGCTGCAGATGTGCCCTGTCCCAGGCGACTTGGAGCAATACCTGTTGTGGCTGTAGGTTTATAGGCTGGGATAGAGTCATACATGCTAATCTTTGGCTCTACGTTGTGTCATGTGGGCCCTTCTGTTCAAAGACATTTGTGGGCATTGCGACTCATGTTGTTAACCTTTACCTGCTACTAAGACATTCCACCCCAGGGCTCAGTGCACTGTTATCAACAAAAACACTTAGTCCCAGAACACAGGACACTTTGCCTTATATCAGTGTTTGTGCATGCATTCTCATGGAGAAGGGGGAAAAACATGTTTGGTAGTAAGTAGCAAAAGAATTCAAGTTGTATGCTTTGCTTTTCACTTCAGTAGAGTAGTTCTTAATTTTACCATTTATTGCAAATGAGGAAATTGCTAGTTGAAAGTATCCTAAATTTGCAATGGAAAAATGCCAGCGTCCAGAGTCAGCTGAACATCTACACCACATAATGTGAGAGCGGGTTTATTATTTTAAAGTGCAGACAGAGTGCCTTTACCAAAAGGTTGTGGGCTCACAACTGCTCTCCCTTCCGATGACCTGGACGGCCCAGTGTGCGTTCTCCTCTGCCTGCCTCAGTCGGACCCCTCGCCGTGTAAGAGTCCCCTACATAGGACAGTCGCCATGTCAGCAGTCTGGGAAATAGAAGGTTGGTAAATAAATGAGGTCAACTGCTCAGCCTTAAAGAAATTAAGAATTAAAAGGGCAGAGGAATTGAGCAAGGGACAAAAACCCCAGTCAACAATGAAAACATCTGTTGAAGTCTGTGATGTCTATTTTTATATTTTGGGATCAGTTTTTACTCATTGTTCTCTCTTGCTTGCCCCCAAAATGACTGTCAGTGTGATTATTCATCCCCCATGAGTCTGTGTGTCACAGTACAGTGAGGGGTGTCTCTGCTATTTTTAGACACAAAGATCACACGAGAAAAAGGGCGCATTCCACTTCCACGCTGCCCAAGGCAAGCTCCACGCTGGCCGGGAGACTGTCCCAAAGCAGCGTTTTGCTCCTAACCACACGCAAAGGCTTGTTTTGACTGGGGAGTGTGCAGTGGGTTGCGGAGGGTTTCAGGGAATATGAAGGAAGATATTTCCAGATTTGAACTTGAGCAAAGTTAATGCTGACAGCAGCGTTAAGTGACGGGCAGAATTGGAAAGTGCAGCTGAGGCAGCGCCATCCGGACCCAGGCAAGGACTCACAAGAGTGGGTTTGATTTGGAAAAACCCCAGAGGGCAGAATTGATCTTTGAGGACTAGCCAGCCTTTTGTTGCAGGGTTTAGTAAATACCTTGGCAGGGACGTGGATGGTATCTCGGGCTCTCACTGGCATGAGTGGGACTTCTCCTCCCCCAGGTGGCCAGTGAGCAGGGACACCTGGCCTCCAGGTCCACCATCCCTGGCTCAATTGCCGCCCCCGCCCCGGTCCCCAGTCCCGAGCTTTTCTTAAAAACCAGAACTACCTCAACCAGGAAAGGCAGAACTGAAAAGAGGCCACCGGTGCCTTTGCCTGTGACCTACTTGCACCCTCTCTACCTTCAGAGACGAGAGGCCGATACGCCGCCCACACTCACTGGCGTGGGACTCACAAGTCTGGCATCTTGGCTGGGAGGCAGGACATCTTCTGGCAAACTTCCTAAGCAGATTTTCTCAGTGATAGGAAAACTCTTGCTTAATGCAGCTCTGTTCCCCGTGGTTGAAGCACTCAACCCAGGGAAGATAACAGTCTTCACCTGACCTGGCGTGAAGTACAAACAGAAGTTTTGTTTTCCTTTTTTTTTCTTCTTCTTCTTTTTCTCTTTTGTCAACTTCCATTGTCTTTAGGAGGATGATTGCAGGCTTTATCTTTAATAGGCCAAGTTCATATAAAGCAACTTGGGCTCAGATTGTGAAACTAGCATAATATTAAATAAATCTGATTTATGGAGTGGCCAGCATTGGTATTGCATGTAACATTTAAGTGTTTTCTGTGCTTGCTTAACATCAAGTATTTCTCCCGTCACTGTCGGGTCCCATGATCCCTATGAATGTGGCCACTGATGGACAAAGGCTGTTGCAAAGTTATAAAAGAGCAGAAGGCCATAAATGGAACCCAAACCCAAATGTGGAGTTAACGTCTGTAGATAATGCCAGCAAAAACCAGTTCATGCGCCAGGAACCCCTCCCCAGAAATGTCAAGTCTTCATGGTTTAGAAAGCTCCAGCCTTTAGGAAATCCAGCCTTTCATCTAGGCTGAACCGATGTCCCTTCGCCTCAGCCTGCGTCACAAAGATTGGATCCTCATCTGCTCATCCACTTCCTAGTTAATATCACCTATAAAGCAGGAACACCTGGCCTAACAGGTAAGCCATCTCTGGTGCAAGGTCATAGGCTTGAGAGTGATTTTAAAAGTTCAAAATGTACACGTTCAGAAGTCTGCAGGAGCACATTTTTGAGTTTCACTGCAAAAAAGGACATAATCTTAAAAAGATCTCTTGTATTGTAATAGTCCAAGTAAACAAATGCCACAGGCATTTTTGTGACTTAGCAGGTCTGCATTTCATCAATTTGTCAGGAAGCTGAACAATGTACCTATTAAAAACTCATAAAAAAATTGGAAGCCATCATTCTGATTTTTATTTATAACTTAATTCCAGTGAGCTGGCACCAACCTTTTAGAGAGTTTTTTTTTTTTTTTTTTTTTTTTTTTTTTCGAAATAGAGTATGACTCTGAGTCAAAACCAAATTGATTCCAGCTTTCTCAGTTTATTAACTTCCTTTTGATTTTCTGCAGTGTCCACTGCCCCCGCGCTTGCTGCTTGGCTCTTGTGTTGCCGACTCCATACGCAGCCTCCCTGCCCTGGAGAGATTGTAAACAGTGAAGGGGCGGTATCCAGTGGTCCAAAGTTAGTACTGGAGTGAGATGGGCCAGACCCACATTTTGGCAAAGAAAGTTAACATACAATCAGAATAATGGCACTTTGTCACCAGTGTGGAGGAGAACAGAGATGGAGACACCCAAGATGGCTTTACTAAGCCAGTCAGGTAGTGACTTTCTCAAATTAGCTCTTGGGACCTTCATTTTGATTCTCCTTAGATGCCAAAAAGACACACTATACCGTAGAAATGGCTTAGGCTTTGTAATCTCAAAATCTGGAAAATACATATAAACTCTACTCTTTATTATGCATGTGATTTTGATAAACTACTTCAGTACTCTGAATGTCAGTTTCTTCCTCTGTAAGAGGGAGGCAATAGTTTAATATTAGGTTTTAGGGTGTTGCCTTGAAGATTCAACACATTCTATATCAAATGCCTACTGTAGCGCTGGCACATAGTACATCCCAAATGAACAGAAGTCACAAGTGCTATTTTGTCAAGTGTTTTTTCTGCATCAATAGAGATGGTCATGTGGGATTTTCCCCTTCATTCTGTTAACATAGTGTATTACGTTGATTGATTTCTATTTGTTGAACCATCCCTGCATTGTGGGAATAAATCCCACTTGGTCATGGTATATAAACCTTTTAATGACTGGATTTGGTTTGCTAGAGAATTTGTGCATCAATATTCATAAGGGATATTGGTCTGAACTTTTTGTTTGTTGTAGTATCTTTGCTGGCTTTGCTATCGGGATAATGCTAGCCTTGAAGAATGTGTTAGGAAATGTTCCCTCCTCTTCAATGTTTTGGAAAAGTTGTGTTAATTCTTTAACTATTTGGACTTCACCAGTGAAGCCATCTGGCCCAGGACTTTTTTTTTGCTATTGTTGGAGGGTTTTTGAATACTGATTCAATCTTCTTAATAGTTATAGGTTAAGTTTTCTATTTCTTCATGATTCAATTTTGGTAGATGTATATTTCTAGGAATTTGTCCATATCATTTAGGTTATACAATTCATTGGCTTATAAATGTTCATAGAATTGTCTTATAATATTTTTTATTTCCACAAAATTAGTAGTAATGTCCCACTTTGATTTTTGATTTTAGTTATGTGAGTCTTCTTTCTTTCTTTCTTTCTTTCTTTCTTTCTTTCTTTCTTTCTTTCTTAGTCAATCTAGCTACAGGTTTGTCAATATTGTTGATCTTTTCAAAGAAATAGTTTTTAGTTTCATTGATTTTTCTCTGTTGTTTTGCCATTCTCTATTTTGCTCATCTCTTTGCTAATCTTTATTTCCTTCCTTCTGCAACCTTTGGGTTTAGTTTACTCTTCTTTTTCTAGTTCCTTAACCGGCAAGGTTAGGTTACAATTGCAGATCTTTCTTAATATAAGCATTTGTAGCTAGAAATTTCCCTCTTAACACTGCTTTTGTTTATCCCATTACTTTTAGTATGTTATGTGTTTTATTTTTTTTTCATTTGTCTCAAGGTAATTGCTAACTTCCCTTGTGATTTTTTCTTTGATCCATTAGCTGTTTAAGAGAATATTGTTTAATTTCCACATATTTGTGGATTTTCTAATTATTTTATTATTGATTACTAACTTTATTTCATTTTGATCAGAAAAGTACTTTATATGATCTAAATTTTTTTGAAATTTATTCAGACTTGTTTTGTGGCCTAACATGTGGTCTATCCTGGATATTGTTCCATGTGCAATTGAGAAGATTATGTATTCTGCTGTTTTTGGGTGGAGTGTTAGGTATATGTCTGTTAGGTCCAACATATTCTTCAAGTCCACTATTTTCTTATTAATCTTCTATCTGGGTGTTCTATCCATTATTGAAAGTGGAGTATTGTGGTCTCTTAGTATAATCTTTGAGCTGTGTATTTCTCCCTTCAATTCTATCAATGTTTGCTTGATATATTTTGGAGCAGCGATTTTTTGGTGTATATATATTTATAATTGCTATATCTTGTTCATGAACTGATCCTTCTATCAATATATAACATCCTTCTTTGTCTCTTACAACAGCTTTTTACTTACATTTGTTTTGTCTGATATTAGTATAGGCCCCTACCAGGTTCTCTTTTGGTTACTATTTAGATAGAATATCTTTTTCCATCCTTTTATTTTCAATCTAATTCTATTTTTGTATCTAAAGTGACTCTCTTGTTGACAGTGTATAATTCTATCATTTTTAAATCTATTCTGCCAATATATGCTTTTTGAGTGGACTTTAATGCATTTGTATCTAACATAATTACTATTTGTTTTCTATTAATATATGTCTTATAGCTTTTTGTCTCTTATTTCCTGCATTACTGTCTTCTTTTGTGTTTAGTTGAGTTTTTGTAATGACATACTTCTCATTTGCTTTTGTGTATATTCTATAGATACTTTCTTGGTTACTACGATGACAATTACATACAACCTCCTAAAGTTATAACAATCTAATTTGAATTGATACCAACTTAACTTCAATTGCATTAAAGACTATTCCTATGATGCTCTACCCCCCATCTTATGTAATTAATATTCCAATATTACTAGTTATACATTATATGCCCACTAACAGAATCATAATTACTTTTTATGCATTTGTTTTATAAATCTTGTAAAAACCAAAGAGTGAAGGTAAAATCAAAATTATAATAATTCTGGTTTTTATATTTGCTCATGTATGTGCCTTTAATCGAGATCTTTATATCTTCATCTGGCTTCAGGTTACTGTCTTTCACCCTTTCATTTCCATTTGAACTACTCCCTTTAGCATTTCTTGTAGGGCAAGTCTAATGGGTAATAAACTCCTGCAGCTTTTATTTGTCTGGGAATATATTAATCTCTCCCTCATTTTTAAAGGACAGTTTTCTCAGAGAGAAAATTTTCATTTGACAGGGGTCCCCCCCAGAACTTTAAATATATCATCCCACAGTTTCTGCCAAGAAATTGGGGAGTAATCCTATTGAAGATCCCCTATATGTGACGAGTTTCTTCTTTCTTGATGCTTTTAAGATTCTCTGGTTTTGGCTTTCAGCAGTTTGATTGTAATGTGTCTTGGTGTGGGTCTCTTTTGACTTGTCCTGCTTGGAGTTCATTGATAATTTTGGATTTTTAGATTCACATCTTTAATGAAATTGGGAGAGTTTTGACCATTATTTCTTCAAGTCAACTCTGTCCTCCTGTGACTTTCATATTGGTCCTCTTGATGGGCCCCATAAGTCATTTAGGCTCTGTTCACTTTTTCTTTTTTGTTTAGGCTCTGGAGAATCAATAATTTCAAATATCCTGTTATCAAGTTCTCTGATCCTTTTTTCTGCCAGCTCAAATCTGGTTTTGAGCATCTCTAGAAAATTGTTCCATTTCAGCTATTGCACTCTTACCTCCAGAATTTCCATTCGTTTACCTTTTATAATTCTAATCTCTTTGTTAATATTCTCATTTTTTCATAAATCATTTTCCTAATTTCCTTTAGTTCTTTGCCCATCTTTTTCTTTAGCACTTTGAGCATATTTGAGACAATTGTTTTAAAGCCTTTGTCTAGTAAGTCCAATGTCTGGGCTTTCTTGGGGACAGTTTTTGTCATTTTATTTTATCCTTTTCAATAAGTCATATTTTCCTGTGTGGGTTTTTTTTTTTTTTTGTATACTTGGTGATTTTTTGTTGGATATTGGTACTTGATTATTATAATGTGGTAATTCTGGAAATCACATTTTCCTCCTTTACCAGGGTTTGCTGTTGTGTTTTTGTTTTTGATTATTGAAAGCTGTAGTAGTCCATTTGTTTTGAACTTTTTCAAACTAGTTTTGCAAAGACTATTCCTTGTCACGTGTGCTCACTGAAATTTCTGTTCTCTTAGCTTGTGTCCAGCTTAATGTTTTGAAAGAGATTTCCGTGCACACCTAGAGCTAAAACAGACCATGAAACACCAAAAGAAAAAACAAAAGAGAGTGAATCACCACCTCTCCAAGTCTTTTGCTGACTGACTCTGTGCTGAGGTACTCTTTAAGCACTGTTAGGCTTGCTCTGAGCCTCGAGATCAGCCTTAAGTGAAAATTCTAAGGTCTCAGAATTTTTCTAAGCATTCATCTTACCTGGCCAGGTATATGACTTTCTAGATTCCCCCATATAAATAGCTACTTTTGAACATCCTAATTTCCCCAGCTTCTTCTTCAGGCTTTAGATGATCTGTTGTATGTCTCCAGCAAGAATCTCTTGCCCCAGGCATCTGTGGCTTTCTAGCTTTCTAGTCCTGTTGCAACTTTTCTGAGCAGTCCCCATTGCTTTTCCTGCCTGCTTTCTGAGTTATGCAAGACAGAGAAGAGCAAGTCAACTCTTCAGGCATCCCCAGCCAGGTTAGAACAGACATACAGAATAATCTGCAAAGGTGGTCTACTCTCTCCCTCTGTTTCAAAGAGGGGAACTGGGAACTGGGCTGCTGTCACTCAAGACCAAGACCATGGCCACCGGGGGAGAAACATGGAGCAAAAGAAGGTAAAATACCACAGAACTTTCCTACCTCGTTGAAGATAGAGTTTTCTTGATTGGGTGTTCAATTGGTTGCTACAAACCTTTTGATTGTTTTCCAGAAATTCTACAAGTTTTGTCCATACAGCTTTTGGGCTTTTTTGTTTGTTTGTTTTTTTCATGTTTATTTGGGGATCATAAGTTTGGAGCTTCCTAATTCATCATGTTGCTAATGTCTTATTATTATTATTTTATGTAGATTGACCACATACTGAAAACTGCATTGAGTTTAGTATTTTTCCTTTGCCCTGCGACCCACTCTCACCCTTCTGTGTCCTCCTGTGTGCCCTTTAGGCTGATCTGTGTAGGCACATCCATGCGCTCTCTGCGCCAGTGGGAGAAAAGGAAGCTGCACATTTAATTCCCTTCCTGCAGTGTGCACAGGCTGGCTATGTGTCTCTTCCAATGCCACAGCTTCTGTGCAGTTACCTTCTCCCTGTGGTTACCCTCTCTAAGATCTGGAAGTGGCACATTTCTTTTTAGACTTAGGGCTGATAAAGAGCTCACCCACCATCATCAGTTTCTGCCATTCTAGCCCTAGCATCCTTCAATGCCCCCTGTACATGTCCCTAAATCCTCTTACACCATCATAAATCACTCTTTTATTAACAATTCTCACTCAGTTTGAGAGTACCATCTGTTTCCTGCTGGGACTGTGATGGACACACTGCACTGTTAGCTGCTATTTCTCTTTCGGAGAAATTCATCTGATTCTGGAGAAATGTGCTCAGATACTAGCAGATTCTGGAGGCGACTTTTTGTCACGAGGAAGGAATTCACGCTCCTGAAAGCATTTGTAACATTCATCAGCATTGGTAGTCAGCTTGGGATTCAGATAATGTCTCTTACTAAACAGATAGATTTGGTCCTATCTTGTAGTCTGAAATGTGAACCAATCTATGGCTCAATTCCTACAAGGCAGGTCAGTGAAAAGAAAGCAAGACTGCTCTCCGTTCATGGGTGGCAGTACAGAGCAGCAGTCCCGCATCACAGTGACCTGTCCCAGGAGTGAGATCAGCCTGCGTTTCCCCAACGTGAGAAGATGCATGCCCAGGCACAACTGGAAGGGGATAGAGCCAGTGTGTCTTGTGTCCAGAGAAGAGCTGCCCATGAAATGAGATCAAACTCATTAATTATTGTCTCTTGAATTCATCCTCCTCACTGTTGTTGGTCCTTCCTTAAGCACAGACCTGCTGAAGCCACTCCTTTGCCAGAAACGTCTAGTAGCTGACTTTAGCCACGAGGCCAGGATGACGAATAGCATGTGGGCCGTCACTCCCACTTCCACCTTCCATGGCTTTCTTGCCCACTAAAGATGCTTCCGGTCTTAGGCACCTTCCCATCACAGCTCTCCAGGGAGCCAATATTTATGGTGCTTTCCACTCAAGGTAAGTGTATTTTCCCACTTTGTTTTTTTAGTTACAGTATGTTCCAAATTCAAAAGCACAGCATGATGCAAGCTCTTCTTCTCCAATTCTTTTGTGCCACGTCTTTAGCACTTTGCACTGTTCATAGCACATATTGGGTGCTCTAAATGTATGTTAGACTTAACACTTACACAATCTTATGAATTAAAGTTTTCTTTATATACACATGCACATGCAACATTTAAACCTGGAGTTAACCACAGTTTCAACCTAATATGTTTAAAATATTGCAAAAACACAAGGTGATATTTGTGAATTAGCTTCGAGCATTTGTCCATACATTTATTTGTACAATTTAAGGAGTAGAATAAGGTCTACTAGATGAGCGTTAAGAAATATTTTCCTTATAGAGCAAAAGCTACACATTCAAGGTTGATGTGCCTTCAACTGGCCCTTTCAAGTGAAAGGCTTTGATGACATTGGCCTTCTCACAGTAGAGGGGTCAACAATTTCACGTGTGAGGTCAAGTCGTTTTTTAACTGTGGCTCAGCTCCCCAGACTGTAGCTCATTTTTTCTGAAACGAGCCCCAAAGCAAATTACAAACTATCACCCTCATTCTCCCAACTTGTCTCAATTTTACCTCTCCTTGAAAAGCCGATGACATCATTTATCTGCTGACTTTATTTAGGTGTAAGCTTATTAGCACTAATTAACTGAATTTGCATTAGAATTTCAGTTTCTTGAACAGAAGATTAAAACAAAACCAGTATCTTTAAAAATAGAGTTTAAATGTTTCAATGTACTTAGAGAAAAGAAATCATCATATTCCGCAGGTAGGCAGCTCCGACTTACCAACGGCACTAGACAGCATGGCAAGTTGATATTCAGGTGAATTTCATTGCACTAATATTCATTGAAAGAGCGCTGAGTCAGGACCAGGCTGAAGGCCAAGGAGGCCACTGCCCACCCTCCCATAGCACACGAACTCATGGGGATAGAAGACATGCGTATAAATTGTTGTAATTGTTGCAACTCAATTATTAATTTTAAACTGCAACCTTTAGACAATATTTTCAAACTACCCTTTACTGAGCACTTATTATGTGATGAGAAATCATTATTTTGCACATACTATATCATTTAATTTTCATGATAATTCTATGAAGTTGATGTTACTTATCCCACTTCAGAGTCAGCTCAGAAAGTATTGATAATGCAAAGTTAAGCTCAGTAAGCAAAGATAATGCAAAGTTTAATTCGCTAAGAAGCCAATGCTCATAATGAGGTATAAATGAATGATTAGTGCCACATTTTTAGGAAGAGACACTTTGAAAATATTAATACATAATAAAAAACGTTAAGAGTACAAATAATCCAAAAACAGAACTGTTAGTTCCTAGATAATTCAAGATATTCCAAATATGTGGTAGCTGATAGTTGACAACCTAAAAGAGTTTTTGTTCTGAGTAATTTATTTATCAAAATCTTTTTTAAACAAATAAACCCACGGGAAAATATTTTCAAAATCTTTTTTTTTTAAAAGCAGCAAAAACAAATTTAGACCTAGAAAAAAAAAATGATTGTAGATTTTGATCTCAGCATAGAATTTATCTTTATAAATAACCCAGGGAGGTCTGTGGATGTGTGCCCGAAAGTGATAAGATTATAGACTATCAACTAGAAACACAGTCACAATAGTGCAGTCTGAGAGCGAAGATCTTTTAGATTTGGCATATTCAAAATAGCTTCATTATTATTGTTGTTTTAACATATTTTAAAAGTGGAAACAGTTGGGCTAGGGCAGGGTAATACTTTTGCTATGAGGGGCTTTGATTTTTCTGAAACTTCCAAAATAGTAAATAAATTACAAAATAGGACTCCTATTACTTCCATTAAGAAACTATAATTGCTAAAATTTGAAGAAATATTCCTATCTCTCAATGCAGTTTCTCTAGGTGCCGTGGAATGAGGCCCTATAGGGACACATTTTGAGGAACTGGGGTCAGCTGCAGAAGTGATCCAGGACTTGAGTCTTACACCCAATCTTATTTGCACAGAGGCCAGAAATGAGAATGTAGACTCAACAGAGCCAAACAAAATCCAAACTGCCTTCCAAGAGCTGCCTGCGTAAATGTCCTACCCAAATGCGGAAAAGCAGAAAGGATTTCTCTTGGAAGATGGCTCAAGAATCCTACAGTAACTATTTCCTTTCTCAGGGAAACTGCAGTTTGGTTGGAAGTAGTGGGCCAGGAAGTACTTCAGAATCTTTGGGAGGAAAGAGAAAATTGAGGAACTTGAGTTCACTGAGCAGGAACTTGAGTCCAGGGTGCTAGGACACCCAGAAACAGTCTGACGGTGGGTGTGTTTCTGCCTGTGCTTTGGGCGTGGGGGACAGGTATAGGATAGGGTGGAGGTGGAGCCAGGGATCACTTCAGGTTGTCAGGAGCGTAAGTTAGCGGTCAAGCAAACCCACTCCAGAGATGGGCAATGCACTTTCAAGAAGTGAAAACCCTTAAACCTAGGAAAAAAGGAATTGTTGAATTTAATTTAATCTTGAAATGGGATTAATTTAATAGAATCTACTCAGTTTGTGTGTGTGTGTGTGTGTGTGTGTGTGTGTTGTCCAAAGTGCAAAAAGAATAGAACATGAACCAGAAACACAAATTCAAAAATTCAGGTTCTGCTGTCTACCAGCTGATGGCCTTGAACTTTGCTTCACTTTTGTCAGCCTCGGTGTCCTCCTCTATAAATCAGAGATAACGGAAGTGCCCACTTCATGGGCTTCTTGTGAGCAGTCCGTGAGGTCAGAGTTCACCACTGCGCCTGGCACGTGGTAAGCATTTCATCTCATTGGCTGTCACTGTTATCATCACAGGTCTACTTAGTACACTCAGGCACTAAACCTTGCCCTTAATCAAATGTGATTTGCCAAGTCTTTAAAATAAACTACTGTCTGTCTGTCTGTCCCCTCATTTCCTCCCTAGCGGTTTTCTAACACTGAAGAGCTCACCTGGGAGGTCAATAAAGTCTCGTTTCTGGGAACTGAAGTAAGTCTGTCTCCAGTAGGTTCTCCCTCACACACTATCAGAAGTCTCCTCTGGCCATCCCACTAGATTTGCTCCAGGAATGACCCACTCCCAGGTGGTGAGCTGGGACTACAGGTTCCAATCAGAGAAAAATATCGTAACCGCTTTTGGAGCAGGTTCTAGAGGGCAGGCAATCTCCTCCCATGAGTCCTCTCACAGCTCTCATGGTAAGGGCTGGTGACGACGGCCATCTGCCAAGGGCAGGAGGGAGGATGGGGACAACGTTCCCTACCAGCAGGGGCAGAGACCAGCTGGTAGGCCAGATAGGCAAGGAGACATAGAAGGCATCATCTTATTTACACTTGAGAAAGGTTTTCATTCCATCCAGACCAACATGCTAGGCTGCCCTAGTCTACACCAGTGTTTCTCAAACGGTGTTTTCAAGACCACCCTGAGGACTGCAGAGGCCAGAGCTCTGGAGCTTGCGGGAGCTTGGGCAGGACTCCCTGCTGGGGCCAGGTCAGCATCTCCAGCGCCTCCACCCTGTGTTCCCTCTGCCCTTTCAGGGCTCTCCTTCCTCCAGGTCCTCTGCCACCTCATCTCCACTGCGCCCCTTGTCAAAGGAGCATTGTCCCCCTCCCCCCCCCCCCCGGGGTTGTCCCAGGGGACTATCTTCAATCAGGGAGTTCACCAGGGTTTTTAAAGTCACCCTGGAGGAACCAAAGCTATGCCCCAGGGTGATTCCTCCCTTGATTCTTTCTCCCTTACCTTTCCTCCTTCTTCCCTTCTTTCTTTTCTTCCTCTTTTTCTGCCTCCTTCCCTCCCTTCCTCTTTCCTTCTATTCCTTCCTTCATATATATTTATTGACTTCCTGCCATACACCTGGCACCAAGACTCTATTAATTATCTAGGTTTAGGTCAGGCTCTTGAATTTGCAGACAAGAAACAGCAAATAGTGCTAAGTTGCTAACCCCTTGAAAGGGAAGAACATTTATGAATGTGTTGAATAAATGCACACAAAATCATGGGAAAAATTGTGAAATGACTTGGACTCATATAAGTTTAGATTTAAGGTAGGCTAGGGGCACACAGCAAACCACTGGGAGAGTAGATGAAAGAAGACAGATAGGACACGAATAGATCGGCAAAGCAAGTCCAGTGTGTTTGTTCGGCACCTCCCATTCATTCTCACCCGAGCCAGGGACTATGGAGGTGGGAGGAAAGCGGGAATGATGCTTTGGGGGAAGAGTGTTGAGCAGGCGTCATTCGCAGCTGCTGACCAGTAACATGACACGCGGATTCACCATTCACCGGGGATCTCCAGGCCTGTGGCTATGAGACAGGCACAGCCACGGCAGAGGTTTAGTGGCTTCCCAGGAAGGGATACATTTCTGGCTGTGAATCACTCTATGTCTAGAAGGAGGATTTTTCTGACACCAGTTTCCAAGCAGCTCAGCTCACTCAGACTTTCTTACCCAAGAGAGCACTGGATCATGATGCCACCAGGGCCCACATGTTATTTATTTACATTTTGTATTTTCCAAAGGGCCATTTGAACCAAAAGTGGCCCGCGGCCCCTGGAAACTCTGAGTAGTGGCTTAGCCACTTAGACGTTGGGAATCTGTCTGCCGTGCTTTGTGGAAGGGTCTAGTTCTGTCTAAAACTGAAACCAAAAACAAAACTGGTGGTTTTTAATGTGCCTGTGTAACCCTACTTATTCCCTGTCTACTAATAAATGCCCCAAACTCAAAGAAAAAAATAATTAAATCCCCTTGGATATCTATATACAACATTTAAAATAAAGTTGATTTTATCTGCTAACATTGGATTTTGGATGCACAATTAGTAATGCTTTGATGAGTATTTCTAAGTTCTCAATATTTTAATTTTTCCATACTCATCTTTTTTTTTTATGTGAAATCTAATGTCTTCCAGCCCTAGGCCTCTGTGTCCATGTTCATCTCTGTGATTGACCCCATAATATTTACTTATAACATTCATAAAAATACCATGCATGCCAAAAGCTGTTAGCTGCAGGAAGATGATAAAATATAAAAATATTTAATCAGCCAGTGGGAATTCCCTTACATGTTAAATCAAAGGCTCTCTCAGAGGGCCGGCAGTGACCTTGGACGGCCGGCAGTTCAGCCGCACTGAGCAGCAGCAGGAGGGAAAGGCTACAGAATGCCCACCCTGCGTGGGGCCCCTTCCTGTCCTCCAGAAAACACAGCCCCGAGGAGGGACTTAGCTTCAGAGTCAAGGGTCTCCTGGGTACATGTGTCCAGATGCTGTGTGCTTTTCTGTGGGGGTTTTTGTAGCTTGTCATCCTACCAGGGTCATCCCACCAGGCGACACCTATTCTGCTCCTCCTCCTCCCCACCCCAGGACTCAGTCTGTTTCTATAAAAGGAGCACCGTGGAAGGTTTCTAAGGAAAAAGTGCTAGAGAAATGATACAAGAGGTGGTGTGGTGGGTAAAACGTCCCAGCGACAAGAGTTCTGGGCCCAGCCTGGACTTGATACTAAATACGTTGAGCAAGTCATTGTACATCTCTGGAAGTCAGTGGTTTTCAACCCTAGTGGTTCCAAGAAGTATCCCTAGTTTAGAGAGGGGGTGACAAGGACCAGTTGGGCTTTTAGGCCCCTTTCCCATGTCAATCAGCTCTGCCTTAATCGGTTTTGTGTTTTGGATCACACATGATATTTAATTCACGAAAAGTATCTTGCTGTTAAAAAACCACTTGACCAAAAAGATTTATATTTAACGTGAACGTAATTTGTGGCTCAATAGTATCCCAGATTCCAATTTCCCTCTCTTTGGTATTCCCCACTAAAAGCCAGAACTGGTTCCTGGCATCCTGGTGCCCACTAAGGAGCCATCTGACCGTAAGCACCAGGACAAGGGCTACCTGAGAGGTGAGGTTGGGTGTCACGAATCAAGGATGCTTGCTTTTTGCAAAGAGGATAAAGTTGCAAAGGCTGCGACTTGAGCCAGCTGGAAGAACGCTTTTCTCTCCTTTTGGGTTACTTCCTACTAGAATGGTACCAAAGCATTGTACCATGTCCCTACTGTCTACAAAATTTAAAAAAAATAAATCAGTTCTTTGAATTTTGACATGCCTATTTCCCTTTCCAGCACTCAGGAAATTCATAACTATTGTATTGGGACACATACGAGTGACAAGCACGGTAACTCAGAACCACTTAGCCTCTCGCTGCAAAGCTCTGCTGCTGCTAGACCAAGTTTGTCCCGAGATGATCTTTCCCAGATGGCTGCTCAGGACTTTATGCAAACAGATTCCTGAGACGTCTCTCAAACCAACTCATCCAAATCCCAGTAGCGGATGCCACCAGCCCAGCTGCGTTTATCATACCTTCCTCTTTTGTTCCAAAGTCCTCATTTTAAGCCACACAGAATGATTTAAAATCATTCCATTATCAAATCATTTTGGCATTCCATCTCCATCTATCATGTTCTGAGTTTTGTCCTGGATTCAATTTTGTGTCAACCTGATAACACTGACTCAAAATTCCATTGCCAATTCAAACTAAAAGTGACAAAACCAGAAAGTTTATCAGGGAAAAAGCATAAGGAACTTTTTGAATCAGCTGCTTAACATTACCTGTAATCTTAACATCAAAAGATACTTTCATTAACATTTTGTTGAACATTCTTTCATATCTTCTCTATGTGTATACTTTGTGTGTGTTTTTTATTTTTTTATTTCAGGAAATTATGAGAGTACAAGCTATTTTTCTAGCAATAAAATCACCGATATATGCAGTTCTGAAATCTCCTGTTTAGACTTTAAACAACAGAGCCTAAACATTTTCCCATGTGAACTAATATTCTTCTACAATATATTGTAATTTTTAATGAATAAAATTGATTCTATAATATAATTAATAATAAAATTATACTTTTAATGACTATGTAAAGTGCATAATTTAACTCAATTCTCTACCATTGGAACATTAGGGTATTTCAATTTTTTAATATTAAAAATTTAGAGACAACTATATCTATACCTTCATGCTAATTTTATAGTTGTAATTCCAGTATCAAAGGGAATGTTTTTAATAAATACTAAAATTTTTAAATAAATATTGTCAAATTTTCCTCTGGAAAGATGAATTATAATTCTGACACTATTTTTTGTTTATTCCCTAGCCAACACTAGGTATTATTATTTTTAATCTTTACCAATTGACAGAGGAAGAATAGAATCTTATTCTTGCTTTTAATTTGAAATTCTTTGCACTGTGGTAAAGTGAACCTTCTGTCAAATGTGTATTGGTCATCCATATTTCTACTTAGGCCATGCCTATTCATGTCCTTTGCTATTTTCTTTTTTGTGTACTCATTTATTCATCATTGATTTCTAAGAGCTCGTTATATATTAATCATCTTAATCATTTATCTGATATGTATGCAACAAATATTTTTTCTAGTGCTTTAAGCCTAAAAAAGTTGTTTAGGCTATTTATGCTAAAAATGATAAAAACAACAACAACAACAACAACAACTATTGATCTTGTTCTCAATTGTATTTGAATTTGGCATCATGCTTAGAAAATGCTTCCTTACTCCCAAGATCATACAAATATTGCTTTTTTCCCCAAAGGTTGTGTTGTCTCCATTTCACATTAAAGTTATCAATTAATCTGGAATTGATGTTGGAATAAGGTATGAGATAGGCTTCTGTCCTCTAATCCAAATACACAGTCTATTGGCAAATCTTTTCAGTTCTTCTTTCACAGTCCTTGCTACATCTAGTTCTTTCTGCATAAACTGACGACTTCCCTATGGATGTTGGCGTGCTGTCCAAAACTGGGCTCAACTTTAACACAGTCAAACTGTGCAGGTACTCAGGGCAAT